TGAAGCTGTGCTTTGCTCTCTGTCCACAGGAAGATCTGTTCTAAAACAGACACCAGTTTGGTGTTTGAAATGTGTTACTTCCTAGGAAAGCCTGAGGAAGAGAACATCTCCATTCCTCCTGGAGAATCTTGGTCACCTGCCATGAGAATCATAGACTCACAGAATTTTACGGGTTGAAATGGAGCTCAGAGGACATCCATCCCCAACCCCTGCCCTGGGCAGGGACACCTCCCACCAGAGCAGGTTGCTCAAGGCTCAGCCAACCTGGCTGTGAACACTGCCAGGGTTGGGGCAGCCACAGCCTCCCTGGGCAACCTGGGACAGTGTCTCACCACCCTCACAGGGAAAACTTCTGCCTAACATCTAACCTCAATTTCCCTCCTTCAATTTGTGCCCATTGCCCCTTGTCCTGTCCCTGCAGCTCCTAACACAGATCCCTCTGCAGCTTCCCTGGAGCCCCTTCAGCTCCTGGAAGGTGCTCTGAGGTCTCCACACAACCTTCTCTTCTCCAGGCTCAACAGCTCCAACTCCCTCAGCCTGTCCTCACAGGGGAGATGCTCCAGTGCTCTTAGAAACCTTGTGGCCTCCTCTGGACTTGCTCCAACAGTTCCATGTCCTTAGGCTGAGGGAAGTGTTTATGAGGAGTGCAAGGTGACTGGATCAAAAAGAATGTGAAGAAAGGGGAGTCAATCTCAATCTGCTTTGGTGCGTCTGAAGCAAGAAACTTGTGCTGCTTTCTCACCACAGCACAGGAACATGGGATTTCATGTTTGTCATCCCTCTTCCATCCACAACCCTCTGCACTTGGGCATCTCCAGGTGTCCTGCCCTTTGCCAGGGTGTTCTCTCCTTAAGTTCTCAATGTATTAGGACATGTAGGAACTCCCTTTAAAGAGTAAGAAAACTAATTATCTATACCTCTAATAGTGTGGACATAACACAATGACACTAGAAATGGAAGAGTGTAAATACTGAGCAGGCACAGAGCAAATCTTCCCTAGGGGGTTACGACATCTTCTAGTGACTTGTGCTCAGGTCCTTCCTGGACCCCAGGTGGTGTCTCTGCCCTGGAAGACACAAAGTTTTGGAACACCTTGGAGGTGAGAAAGATGCAGAAGCTGATTGTGGTTTGTCACATGCAGTGAATCTCACAGGGTGAGAAGCCTCAAAGTGCTGAGAGACACGTTGAGCTGTTGATGCACAACACAGCAGCACTGAGTGCAACACCGAATTATAGTTGGTGAGACTTAGCAGATCAGGTCACAGAAAGGTGAGAGCAGCTACTTTGGCCAGGCTTTGCTCAGCTGAAAGCTACAGGGCAGCAAAGAAACCTAATGCATTGGAGCAACTTGTCTCTCACAAGTGCATCCTTGGGTATTGCTCATCCTTGGCATTGCAGCTATGCCCAACCCTTTCTAAATGGCTGAAAATTGCTGGATGTGATAAATCTCTTAAGTTCTGCTGTTCCAACCAGAACTGCTCATCATAAATATTAGCAGGAAATGAACCCTGAATGGTCTGCGGTTTTTTTCAGCTATGTAATTACTATTAGTTTTCTTTAGAATTAATACCTGATATGTAGGTTAGCCTAGATACCACAGAGGAAGTCAGAATTGGGAATCCTCTGGGCTGAGTCACGTATCAAACCAGTAAACTTAAGGCCTGAGAGGAAGATTAAAATGTGCATTCAGTTAAGGAGTGGCAATGTCACCAGGTAATGTCATAAATTGTTGGCTGAGTGATGCTGTGTGATCTTCAGTGTGAGGAGGAAACCTCTCTGCAGGCCTGGAGAGCTGAGCAGAGACAAGTGGAGCTCAGATCTGGGGCTTGATGAAGTGGCCAGTGGCAGAAGACTCTTCTCTGGATAGAGGAAAGAGCCTGGAGAAAATGAGGGAGTGGAGCAAATGGATGCTCTCCTCTCCTCAAGAGTTCAGAGATTCATGGAGTCATAGAATTTTAGGGGTTAGAATGTACCTCAGAGACCATCCAGCCCCAACCCCCTGCCCTGGGCAGGGACACCTCCCACCAGAGCAGGTTGCTCAAGGCTCAGCCAACCTGGCTGTGAACACTGCCAGGGTTGGGGCAGCCACAGCCTCCCTGGGCAACCTGGGACAGTGTCTCACCACCACCACAGCGAAAACTTCTGCCTCACATCTAACCTCAATTTCTCTCCTTCAATTTGTGCCCATTGCCCCTTGTCCTGTCCCTGCAGCTCCTAACACAGATCCCTCTGCAGCTTCCCTGGAGCTCCTTCAGCTCCTGGAAGGTGCTCTGAGGTCTCCACACAACCTTCTCTTCTCCAGGCTCAACAGCCCCAACTCCCTCAGCCTGTCCTTACAGGGGAGATGCTGTGCTTGGCACTGTGATTGGCAGCTGACAGTCATTGAAGTGTGAAGGTCTCTCCAGCTCAGTCCCAGACCTGTGGTTTAGTTCACATGCCAAAGAGCAAAACAAAAAAGCATGTTCCATGCAGGTAGCTTACAAAGTCACAGAGGTCTCTTCCTGAGGGTCACTCCCAGGTGCTGAGCATGGCAAGGGGATTTGGAGTAGAATGGGAGGGTAGGGGGAGAAGCAGGAGACAAGAGAAACAAACGTTGGGAGTCAAATGCCTACGAAGAACTCTTGTACCACTTCCTTCCTGCCCTGCACCATCACCTGCTGCTCCACGGGAAGCTGTGCAGAAAGGAGGATCTGCAGACAAGCACAGGGCCAAGAGAAAAGTGCAAAACCCATGGGGAGGGTGGAGAGTTCACCCTCAGCCACACCTGGAGGTGTTTTTCTAAGCTGTGCAGGATAGACAGTCACAGAGTAACCAGCATGGTGTGTGGCAATGCCACGTCCCTGCCCTGAGCTGCAGTTACCTGCTGTGCTTTGCTGGAGGAGAGGTCTCCAAGACCACTCTGTGCTGTGCGGGTGTACAGCAGCTCTCACATCAGCCAGGCAGGTCCAAGCTGAGGATAAGCTCTTGTATGCTCATCCCAGGTGAGGTCTGGGCAGAGAACCACTGCTGCCCCCAAAATCAAGGACCCTTCTTATCCCCTCTGCACAGCAGTTTGGTAGGTGCCCAGGGAAGGCTCTTCCTCCTCCACCAAGGGTGGCAGATGCTCAGAGGCAGCAAAAACTCAAGCCACCACCAGCCCTTACTGCAACCACTGCTTTGGTAAGTTGACACCTGCTAGCAGTGCACTTTCACTGCCAGAAAATGAGGGAGGTTACTGCATTCTCCAACACAGAACCTGGTGGCAACTCTGCTGAGTGCTGTGCCACCTTCCCCACACAGCAGTGAGGACTCTGCATCCAGCTCTGTTTTGAAGGCATGAATATGTCTAAGCTACTCTACAACCTCATATCCATCTCCCTAACTTTTATAGGCTGATGTGGGAGTTTGGCTGCAGGTGACACATGGCCTGAGAAATTCTGGGAGGGTTAGCATTTATAGTGTGGATTTAGAATGGGAACTGGCAGAAGGGAGACAAATGGGTTTATGTCCAGGGGCACAACTTCAGTTCCCCCTTGAGAGGGTTTCAGCACACTCACTGGACTCCAGTGTGGTTCTCAGAGGTAGAGGGATGTGACTCTCTGGCAAGATATTTTGGCCCAACCAGTGCAGCAACCACTGCCCAAAAACACTCACCAATGTGTCAGAAAACAAGTGGAGCATGATTTGCTGTGGGGAAGTGGAAGGTAGTTGCAGAGGGTGGTCACATCCTCTGGTACACTTCTCTGCACACAGCACTTTCTCAGTTCCTGTGTTTGAAGAGGCTCCTTCCAAACATCTCCCCAGGGCAGAGCCTAGTCTGCTGCTGGGGATGGGGATGGCAGGTTCCACTTGCCTGTCCTGTCTGCTCACTTGTCATGGCATCTTCACTCACTAGAGGGACCTAGTGAATGAACATTGACACCTTCAACTCACAAATCCAGCACAGGGCAGTGTTTAAGGGCACAGAACACCATTATGGCACACTCACCTCCATGTTCCTCGAGGCACTTGGGGAAGACTTCTGCATGGATAGCACTATGTCACTTTGCAAGAAATGCTTCTCCTAGCACTGCTTAGCACAGACCCAATGCCAGGTTTGCATTTGTGCATGGTCACCTGGGAAAGGTGGAGGGTTTTGCAACCACTCCCGGTCAAAGAGCACTAAATTTATCTACCTCCATTAGTTAAACATGTGTATAGTCTTCTCTTTGGTCTTGTCTACTTCCTCTAACTCCCTTGTTTCCTGTTGTTCCCCATCAGACACATGTGGTTGCCAGTTTCACTGACTTACTGCGGTGGGTGTTGTATCACACTACAAGTTTGTCTTCTCTCACTGCAGTTGCTCAGTAAGAGGAGGGAGAAGTATGACTTGGCCAGATCTGAACCTCTGTGATGCAGCACAGTGTGGAGGTACCCAGCAGTGGCCACATTCTGGTTCCTGTGTGCCGGGTAGTCTCTGACGCAGCAATGTGGTTGGGCTGGATGATCTCAGAGCTCTTTTCCAGCCTTAATGATTCCATGATGCTGTGAACTATCACCATCCACTTCGGATGTTTCCCCCACCTGACCAACCATAGCCGTCACCTTCTGCCTCTGAAACCTCCGTGGTTTGCATTTTTTTGTAACCTAGTTTAAAGAAAAAAATGAATTGGGGACTAATGCCCTCAGTTTCCTCTGGGAATTGTCTTTAGCAATGGATCAGCAGCAGTTCAGTCTTGTGTAGGAGCTGGGACAGTCCCCAACATCCCATTTTAATAAGCAGGCTAGAAATTCCTTGTGAAGAAAGGAATATTTTCCTGGAAGAAAATCAGACCTGACTCTCAGGGGTCTCTACAGGGGACCAGCAGGAAAACTTGCCTGGCTGAGATGCTTCCTCAAGACAAGCATCCCATTTGCTCCCCTGACTTGTCAGCTTGGCACCTATGGCACCATAACCTTTCCTGACCCATTTTTAAGCTCCCCAGTACTAACTTTCAACCTTGTCTTCTGACTCTCAGGAAACACCAGCTGGGAAAAGAACAATGGAAAATTGTCCAGGCATAAAGGACAACTGCACTTGTGCAGGAATTCCCTATGAGGACAGCCAGACTCTTTTGGTGACTGTTTACAGCATCGTTTTTGCCATTGGCCTTCCAGCAAACTGCTTGACTTCCCTGCTCACATTCGTACAAATCCAAAGGCATCGAGTCATCGCCATCTACATTTTCGCCTTATCACTGTGTGAGCTGATGTACTTGGGCACTTTGCCTCTCTGGATTGTCTATGTGAGAAACAAGCACAACTGGACCATGGATGAAAAGCTTTGCAAGGTAACAGGATTCGTCTTCTTCTGCAACATCTACTTCAGCATTCTGCTCCTGTGCTGCATTTCTATGGATCGTTACGTGGCCCTGGTGTACCCCCTGGAATGCAGGGGGAGAAGAGGACAGAAAAAAGCCATCCTAATAGTGTGTTGCCTCTTTGCTGTGGTGTCAGCAAGCCACATTCCAGTGTTTTACATAGAAGAAAAGTGTGGGAACGTGACAACCTGCTTTGAGACTGTGCCCCTTAACAAAACACTGGCTTCACTCAGCTTTGCTAGGTTCCTGATTGGATTTGCCATACCCTTTGCAATCCTCATTTTCACAAACTACAAGATTTTCCAAATCACAAAAACCAGCAGCAGCTTCACCCATCGCCAGAAAGCCAAAGTGAAGTACTTGGCTATTGCCATCATTGTCATCTTCTTGATCTGCTTTGCTCCCTACCACGTGGTGCTCATAATCAGAGCCATCTACTATCTCTTGAATCAGGACTGCCCGTGCCCATTTGAGAAGAAAATCTATTCTATTTTCACAGTGTTCCTGTGTTTGGGCACTGCAAATGGTGTCGCTGATCCAATCATCTATGTGCTAGTGAGCGAAAATGTCAGGAGAGATTGGTACAGGAGCATGAGGAGCTGGAGAATGAACTCATCCAAGCTGAATTCATCCATTGACAAGACTGAGAGCAGAAAACTGAAAATGGCAAAGGAATCACAGGAGAGAGAGCTAAGAGAAGAAAAGAAAGGCACAACAGATTCATCCAACCTTCCAAAGACATGTAAGAGTGGCAGAGCCCAAGAAGGCAGCAGCTAGCAAACGGATCAGGAGCTCCCAGGGGCAGCTGCAGGCTGCAGCACGAGTATTTACATACTGACATCATCTTACACGTCCTGCATGGGTCAGCAACTCCTCGAGGGCACTACAGGAGAATTAATCCTCAGTTCTGTTTCCCTCCTACCATAAATCATAGAGCCATAGAATTTTAGGGGTTGGAATGGAGCAGAGAGATCACCCAGCCCCAACCCCTGCCCTGGGCAGGGACACCTCCCACCAGAGCAGGTTGCTCAAGGCTCAGCCAACCTGGCTGTGAACACTGCCAGGGCTGGGGCAGCCACAGCCTCCCTGGGCAACCTGGGACAGGGTCTCACCACCAGAACAGGGAAAACTTCTGAATAACATCTAACCTCAATTTCCCTCCTTCAATTTGTGCCCATTGCCCCTTGTCCTGTCCCTGCAGCTCCTAACACAGATCCCTCTGCAGCTTCCCTGGAGCCCCTTCAGCTCCTGGAAGGTGCTCTGAGGTCTCCACACAACCTTCTCTTCTCCAGGCTCAACAGCCCCAACTCCCTCAGCCTGTCCTCATAGAGTTCACCTGTCTTCAATCATGCCCACCAGTATCATTGCTGAAAACATTGCTTTGCTAAGGACATGTGGACTAAATGAAGTAATTTCCTTTGACTCAAACTGAACTCTTCAAAGCGGATTTTTTGGACTGACTCTTTGGCTCATATGAAACAAAACCAGTTTTCTCTTCTGAGCAAAAACAGCCTCAGTGCTGACGGGTTTTGTACCCTTGAACAAAAGAATGTACCATTTTTATAGTTGAAACTTTTGCTTCTTGAGGAGGAGCATGTTCAGATTCTCATACACCTACTCTGCTGTTAAACGTTTGTGGTTAACCAGTGGAAATATTAAACATGAGCAAGTCTTTCAATGAGAGCCTTGAAATGTTCCTCATACTTCAGTTTGTGCTTTTGCTACATTCTGGGAGTATCAGAGGGTGAAACAGTGACCTGGTCACACAGACCAACAGAACTGCTGCTGTGTGAATCAAGGTCCTGCATGGCCTGAAGGTCTTAAAATGTACAATTCTAACAGTACATTCTGGAATATATATGCTGGTGGATGGGGCAGAGCAACTGACAGCATCATCTGCCTGGACTCATGGAAAGTGTTTGACACTGTCCCACATGACATCCTTGTCTCTAAGTTGGAGAGCCATGGGTTTGATGGGTGGAGCACTCAGTGGATAAAGAACTGGCTGGACAGTCACACACAGAGAGTTGTGGTCAGCAGCTAATTGTCCATGTGGAGGCCAGTGAGGAGTGGTGACCCTCAGGGGTCAGTGTTTGGGCCAACACTGTTCAGCATCTTTGTCAGTGACATCGACAGTGGATTGAGGCTCCCTCAGCAAGTTCTCTGACCACACCAAGTGTGTGGGGCAGTCACAGCTGGAGGGAAGGGATGGGACATCCAGAGGGACCTGGACAGGCTGGAGAGGTGGAACTATGCAAACCTCATGGAGTGAAACAACATGAAGTGCAAGGTCCTACATCTGGGCCATGGCAATCCCAGGCACAGCTGGAGACACTGGCCCAGGTTGCCCACAGAGGCTGTGGCTGCCCCAGCCCTGACAGTGTTCAAACTCAGGTTGGATGAAGTCAAATCTAGAATGCACTGAAATCTGTAGTAAACTTACACATTTCCACATGGTGTCAGGAGCTCTTTACACCATCTCTGAGTGCTTGTTGAATTTGTGCTGCATTTCTGACTAAGCTTAACACTTCCCTTTTGCTATTGATCCCATTTTAACTGCGTAGGAGTCTGAAGAAGAGCCAAGTGCCTTACTGACATGGAAGGGCAGTCAGCAAGGAAAGACAGTCATAGAATCATAGAATCATAGAAGCACAGAATCAACCAGGTTGGAAGAGACCTCAAAGATCACCGAGTCCAACCCTACCGTGGTCACTAGACCATGGCGCTAAGTGCCACATCCAGTCTCAGCTTGAAAACCTCCAGGGATGGTGAATCCACCACCTCCCTGGGCAGCACATTCCAATGCCTGAGCACTCTCTCTGTAGAAAATCTCTTCCTAATATCCAACCTAAACCTCCCCTGGCAGAGCTTGAGTCTGTGCCTTCTTGTCCTGCTGCTGGTTGCCTGGGAGAAGAGACCAACCCCCACCTGACTCCAACCTCCTGTCAGGGAGTTGCAGAGGGTGAGAAGGTCTCCCCTGAGCCTCCTCTTCTCCAGGCTGAACAGCCCCAGCTCCCTCAGCCTCTCCTCATGGCACTTGTGCTCAAGTCCCTTCACCACCCTCGTTGCACTTCTCTGTTCTTCCTCCCAGAGCTGGGAACTGCCTTGGACATACTGCTGGTGCATCCAAGGGCCCATTCTGGGTTGAATTTCATTGTTGCTGCTGACACTTTGTTATGAATAACTTACTGATGTGAGTTCCTTGTGCCTTCAAACCACAATTTCATAAGTAAGAATGATATGAATCTGTCAAGATTTATCTAAGCTGCTTCTTCATGTTTTGATGTGATGCAACAAGGATCATGAGTCAATCTGTATATGAGTCAAGTGTTTCATTTTTTTGTCTGAATGTTGTAATTCTGTGACATTTCAAACCTGTTATTCGTGTTCACATTTCTGAACTGAATTCCCATTAGCCAGTGCTAATCAATGTACATACAACACCTTTTAGTGTCTTGAAATTGGCATAGATATTTCTGTATATTTTGCTTTATTCTTGTACAGTTTTGGAAAGAAGAATTGTGGCAAAATGATATTTTTCTCTGTATATTTTATTTAATAAATATTTCATTTTTTATTCTTTAATGTCTCCTCTGGTGCCTTCCTATGAAATGCTTTTGGCCTCAAAATTAGTAACATAGTACTGGATTCTGCTCCTTTGCTCTGCTCTGTTGAGACCCACCTGGAATACTGCACACAGTTCTGGTGTCCTCAGCATAAGAAGGACATGGAACTGTTGGAGCAAGTCCAGAGGACCAAATTCCCTCTGGTGTCAAGGAGAGATCTGCAAAGTGCTCAATATCTGTAACTGCTGAAAATCAAACTCTCAGTTGCTGAAGATTTCAGCAGCAGCTGAAAGCTGAACAGAGCTGGCAGCAGCTCCAGCACCCTGACCTGACTCATTCCTGAAGACACATGCAAACTGCCCCAGCCACAGGATTTTCATGGTCTAAATGCAAACCCTGATGAATTAGAGTGACTTTAGAAGACACCACAGGCACAGGATTCTCAACTGAATGAGATGGATGCAAATTAGATATTGACCTCGATGAATTCAGAAATCTCCCTGATGTTTCTCCTCTGATCAAAAGTGTCTAGGGAGGTGATTGTCCCACTCTGCTCTGCACTGGTGTGGCCTCAGCCCAGGTGCTGTGTGCAGTTTGGGGAGCCACAACATAAGGAAGATATAAAGCTATTAGAGAGCATCCAAATGAGTCTATGAACATGGTGAGGGGTCTGGGGGGGAAGCCACGTGAGGAGTGGGTAAGGTCACTTGGTCTGTTCAGCCCAGAAGACACTGAGGGGAGATCTCATTGCTGGATACAACTTCCTCATGGTGGGAAGCAGAGGAACAGGCACTGATCTCTTCTCCCTGGTGACCAGTGATAGGACCCAAGAGAACAGCATGTAGTTGTGTCAGGGGAGGGTTAGGCTGGAGATCAGCAAATGGTTCTTCTTCCCCCAGACAGAGGTGTTTGGGCACTGAACAGCTCCCCAGGGCAGTGTCACAGCCCCAAGGCTGACAGAGCTCCAGAGGTGTTTGGCCAATGCTCTGAGGCACAGGGTGTGATTGTCAGGGATGTCTGTGCAGGAGTTGGATTGGATGATCCTCAAGGTCTCTTCCAGCTCAGTGCTCAGAGGTAACAAGGCAAAACCCAGCCCTGCAGACCTGCAGAAGGTCTGCTGAGGAGAGGTGTGTGGTAAGAACGTCACAAAGCATCACATGAGTATCAGCTAGAAGAGCAACCCCGTGAAATGCTCCATCCTGTCTGGCAGCCTCAGCCTGTGGCAGAGCCTGGACATTGCTGCCCATGACCACAGAGCACCCCTTCTCTGTTCCAAGGTCTGTCCTGAAATATTCTCTTGAGGGCAGTGAAGGATCAAAGGGCAGAGAGACACTGTGGGAAGAAGGTGCTGGGTGATGTACTCTGTCCTGAAAAGCCTTGTAAACCTAAAGTCACAGATGTTCTGAGCAAATATGCAAAAACTCATGCTCAGAAAGAGACTTGGAGCTGCAGCAGCCTCTATCACACTTCCTCATCTGTACAGTGTGACACTTCTTCCCCTGAGCAGTGTTTGCTTTCTTGCCTTCAAACACAAGCTCTTGCAGGAGATACTAGAAAGAATGAGCAGGTGTGTCCTAAGCCTGTTCAGAGCTGAGTGCAGCAAGCAGAGAACAGTGTGGAAGCAAACACAGAGCATTAAAGCACAAATTCTAATGAATCAGCACTGTCAGGGTAGAGTCAAAGCACTTTATTTGCTTTTATTTAGGCTGGGCCATCAGGAAAGCAAAATATGCAGACTTTGATTTTAACTTTGAGTCTCCTGCTGACATGGGCACTAGGCCCTTGGGGACTTGACTGGGATTTCTCTGCACTGGGATATTTTGGTGATTGGAGGGTTTTGTTACCTCCAAAAGGTAAGAGTGACATTGATCCAGAGTTGACTTCCAGACTGGAAACACTCAGAGCCAAACACTCCCAAGGCTCTGTCTGGGGCAAGACTGAAGTCATCAGTAACTCCAGTGGCATTTGCTGCTCATAGAGCCATAGAATCACAGAATTTTAGGGGTTGGAATGGAGCTTAGAGACAATCCAGCCCCAACCCCTGCACAAGGGAATTCAGCACAAGGGAAAATCCCAAAAAAAAATCTCTTTTTTTCTCCTCTGGAGGTACTGAAACCCATTGCAAATAAATCAATGTGAAGTTAAACCAAAGCTGTGAGAACAGAACTCCTCCTGCTCCTCCTCCTTCTCCTCCTCCTCCTTCTCTTCCTC